TACATTTATATAAATTTGAGTTTTTTGTTGTTGTTTTTTTTCTTGAGATGGGGCCACTTCAGTGTAATAAGAGGAAAATACATCTATTTTGCAGCAGATATTTTCACTGGTGTTGAAAAACACAGTCGTAATTAATGACTTTAATTAAGGCTGCGCTGAAATGAGATGCTCATAATGTTGAACACAGGATTAATGTTGGTCTGTGACCATTCACTTACCTATGTTGTCCAGTAGGTAGTGCTAGCAACCCACAGCATTCAACATCCAAACATCTCATTTAATCTTCACTCACTCTAAACTACACTGAATTAACTCATGCCGGTTTCTGCATTTGATCTGATTTTAAATAAACACTTCGCTGCATAGATATTCCTGGAAATCTTGTTTTGGTGTGTATTGGATTTCGTACCATTACAATCACTTGGGAGCTCATCTGCATTATGAACCAACTGGAGGATTTAATTATGTTGATGTCATTTTTATTCATAAAAAAAAAGATATCATCACATTTTCTTATGAATATTTTACTTAACTCTTAAATGGCCCACTAATCACCCACCCAACAAAATATTCTGTTTAGTCCAAGTGCAGATGCATATTATATTGTGTTGGTTCAACAGGACATGACTGTTTCTGTGAGGGTAATGTTAAAAATAATTATTATAGTACAATGTTCTGTATGACATATGAGTTTTCGTACTTCTGTTTACACCAGAGTATACTGGCAAAAGCGTGGACCCTCTCAAAGAGTAGACTCCAGGCTCTTGTTGTGAATACTATTTTTATCAGGTTAAAATGAGCTTACAAAAACTATATGACTGCAATGTATATAATTATAATTTCTAGTCAACCTTGTAATGTCATACTGCTGTGCATCTGCTTCATGTGCCTGCTCTGTCAGACCAGAGACCATTTGCTCTAGTTCCTTTTCTCACTTATTTGGTTAAATAACACTTGAAATGGTAACCATGGTAAAACAAATAGGACCAAAAAGGTAAAAACATTTACACAAAAAGTAAAGAAGTAATGATCACATCAAACCTTCTGGTGCTACGGTCTTTGAAATTGTATCAATGTTGTCATATAGTTCAGAAACACATCTCTCTCTTAGTCCGACAGACCATCATAGTGAGTTGAAGAGAAGTGAAAATATATAAATTACATGAGACAAGGGGTCGTACATTAGTTGTATCTGTAGTGGTTAAAATACCTAAAATAAGGAATGCATGGTAGAGTTAATTCTGAAATTTACTTCATCTTGTTTATGCTTTTCACGAGAATAAAATCCCCAAATAAATTAAAAGAAATCCCTCATTTAGTGAAAACCCTCGTTCAGTGACCTCGTCAAAATAATCATCTCCCTGCTCTCAGATAATTTCCCTTCTGTGCGCACAGTCCTCATTTAAGTAACCATGTAATAATTTGAATGAGGAGATGAGGCTACTGCAAAAGGGCCCATGGTGCTTTGTTGATGTCAGCGGCATATGTGAGGTCACGATTATATTCAGAAGTACAGAACTTTTTTATTTTGTTTCCATGAGGCTGAATGTGGATTCAGGGGCCCGACAGACAAAAGCACCAGCGTGTGGAGGTGGAGATTGTGGCATTAAGTTGCACCTGGGTCCCCACTGAGCCTGGACGCTCCACATTCCTGTTGAGCCAGAACACAGCGTTCCTATCTGACATCTGAAAATGTCTGTGATTACAACCACTTTGGCTTCGGCAAAAAGAAAGGTCCTCCTTTTTTTTTGGTGTGAGCAGGGTGTACCGTTGGGCATGTGGACAAGGTTAAAGATTCAATTGAGAAAACAGTATGTACTGCATGTCCTTACTTGAAGTGTCCTGGTCGAGGGCTTCAGGCTGTTACAGTGTCACTCTGGTGACCCTGCCTCTTTCACCCTGCTGTTAATGTGTGTCTCAGAGAGAAACTGTATAGGGGAGAATTATCTAATTACATAATGTGCTGTGCAGAGATCACATCCTTTACTAAATGTTAATTAACATTAATGCTTAACTCTGCGTGAAGGATGTTTCAAAAGGTCAAGAAATCATAAGACTTCACCATCACCAAAGTGTGGACAGATGTGCTATTTCTTAAATGTACTAATTATCTTCTCCACTAATGTGTTGTCAAATGTTAAAACTATCTTCTGTAGCCTAATTGTGAATCCTGGTTTTCACTATCTTCCCAGTCATATTTGAATCCAGCATTTTAGCGTCACCCTTCAGCCACAAACAAAATGCAATAAGCAAAACCTTTAATAGCCTCCCTGCACGTTCCCTAGGTGTTTGTTTATGGCAGAGGGATATGTCATTGTCCCCCCAAGGTGCTGAGAATATGACTCATGAGGATATTATTTTCTACCTGGGACTGATTTTCATGAGGGATGTCAGCTCGGAGCTACTGTACGCAGTGGGGCTGGTGCGCGGTGATCAGGAGGTGCAACGTGGACTAAAAGCATTGCCTGTGATGGATACCTTCCCTCACTGATAATGCTATAATGAATGGGGGGGAATCACACAATGCTCATTTGCACATAACCTTGCTTCTGTGAGACCGTGGTGTCAGCAGGGGGAGCACCTGGCACTGTAGTGTTGTGGCAGCACAGCAGCCTGCATGTGCTCCCTGACCAGAGGAATGAGTTCTTTTAAAAATGGACAAAGAGTAACATCACACTATGTCAAGTTACACTAAGAAAAATATGTGACAGATTATATCTGCTTTGGATGCTGCTGCCATCATGTTTGTTACCTAAAAACATTTTTGTCCCATTTAAAAGCAGATATTTATGATCTTATATCGCATACATGCATTATTTTACATTCTTTCATGCACAATTAAACAAAATCATAAATTGAGTCACACAGGCTTTGACCATATACTAATGGAGCCACAGGAATCCATATATACTTAAATAAATGTTTTGTTCTAATTTAAAAGCATATTTCTTTGAAGATATACTTCATACATTCATTATTCTGCATTCATATTTACTATTAATATGGATGTACAGTTATGATAAATGGGTTAAAATAATGTAAAAACACTTAAATAGTGTTCATGTATGCATGGCACGTGCATTGAAAGAATAAACGTAGCAGAACATTGCATTTCTAGATATGGTATTTATGTTAAATGTGATTTAAAGATATTGACCCATGTTTGATGTGGATTCTGTCTAATCTGCAGCGTGGTGATAAACCCACATGCAGATGATCCTAAAAAACAATTAGACTACATGTGTCAATAAAGTAAGCTGTTTTTAATTTCACGTCCTCATGAGCCCCTGTAATAAACAGGATTTAAAAAAAGAAAAAGAAAAGTAGGCTTGGCTAAATTCCCTGAACTCCACTAATCTACACATCATCATCTCCTTCCCTTTTCCAGACGCTATCGATCAACCCGGGGCTTTACGTCAGTATTGATAACTTTGCCAAAGCAAAATCAAGTGCAATTGTCCAGTTAATGTTGAGGACGGAGGCGCGGACACACTTTGCTCTTTTGACTTTTTTTTTTCCCAAACCCAAAACATACACCGTCTACTTTTTTTTTTTTTGTTCCTTCTTCCTGAAACAACATGTTGTCAGACTTGTCAAACATTTCCGTGGACTCTCGTGTCGAGTGTGTTCGTGTGTGTGTTTTTTTTTAAAGTGGGACCAGTGATCGCTGTTTAACGAGGGGGGAATCCAGCCCACATATTTATTGCAGCCGCTGAAAAAAATCTCCTCAATATCCCCCAAGATGGCCGCCGATGTAGGATCGATGTTTCAATATTGGAAGAAATTTGATCTACGGCGGCTCCAGGTTAGTGCTATTCTCACCTTTCTCTGCTTATTTTCGCAGCGGTACGTCTCCTCGACGTGTCCGGCTGCGTGTCGACTCGTTTTCGGGGCGAACGAGCCGCGGCAGCCGGCGTTGTTTGCATTGATAGTTATTAGAAATTGATCCTGTTCTGCCTTTGTTCAGTTCAATCATTGATCAGCGGTGGAGGGACCGCGGAGCAGCAGCAGCGGCAGCAGCAGCAGCCTGTGCGTTAGCCTCACCGATCTGGGATCAGCACCGCGGACAGCACTGCCGCTTCCACCCGCTGGCTTTTCTCCTGCTTTCCGCCTCCTCCTGTCCGCGGTCCTCCGGCAGCACCGCCGCTCGCACACGCACGGAAACTTTTTTTTAATGCGCAGGTTCTTGGACGTAGCCCGTAACTTTTTTCACGCAGCTTAATGTTTTATGCGGTTTTGGTGTCGACGGCCGTTGCGTTCCGCCGCCGCACCTCTCAGCAGGATATAGTCCCACTTGTGCCCGTGTCATCGTTTCGCGTGTGTTTTGTGCGATCAGACAAACGAGCGTGCGCCGAAGTGAGACGAGAGGTTTGTAAAGTTTATTTATCGGACGTTAGCCGATGCTAGGGGATGTTCCCGTGCGTGTAGACAGCGGGCTGCTTGTTCTCGGAGCAGCGGGAAGAAGCGGCTGTGAGTTCAAAACCCAGACTGTGTTGTGTCGCTGACATGCTTGTGTCTGCTAACGTGGAGGATGTGGCAGGTGAGCGGGTCGCTTGTATCACAGCTATAACACGCACACACGCACGCACACGCACACACTGCCCGGGTTCATAGCATGTCCGCTCCGTGTGAGCCTCTAGCCTAACCCCGCTGAAAGTTGAATTTGTGATCGCTCGCAAGGCTCCTGGAGGCGAAACGTTGAAATGAGGAGGAAAGCTAAACGCTATCTCCGGTGTTCACCCCCACCTCTTCCCCTCTTCTTCCCCTCTCCTCCATCCTCTCCTCCTCCTCCTCCTCTCCTCCTGGAGCCGCATAGGGCTGCTCGGCCCGGGGAGCGGAGCAGCGGAGGAGGGGGGCGGCGGTGTAATTGTATTCCCCGCTAATGTTTGTAAATCAGCCTCGGCCGGCGCAAGGGCACCGTCTCTGCCGTTTGACTGATGTCCTGTAACATGAGGGATGACAGGAGCATGGCAGCCCGGGCTCCTCGGAAAAGCACCGCCGAAGAGGGGGAGAGCTCGCATCTGCTGGTGCATGCATGGCTCTCGGTTGTTTCTGACCGAGGCGCTTGCTCCGGCTCCCAGCCGCCGGACACCTCTCTCTCTCAGCCGGGCAGGGATCCAGAGAGAGAGGGGCTGGAGGTTGGAGCTATTGTTGTTGTTGTTGTTGTTGTTGTTGCGGGCTTCATGTAGCGTCCTCTCCGCAGGCTCCCATCCTGATTCACCCCGGCTCCACTGGACCGTGTAACATTTCTGATAGATGCACGCGTTCAAGGTTTTTCCATTAAATGTGACGGACTAACCTGGGAGCTGCATCTGAACTGGCCCTTAAGGATGCCTGAGCTATTACCCAGTGTCATGAGCAGTGATCTAGTGGTTTATAATAATAGTAATTCTAATTACAATAAAGGGCAGCCTCCAGTCTGTAATCAATATCAGACACACAACCACGGATATTAAGAAATATTCATGATACCTGCAGAAAAGTGTTATCTGATGCTTGTGTTCCAATGGATGACTTTATCCTCATGTCAAGTAGACATGAACAATGCACTTTGAAATCCCTTGATATAGAGGAAATGAGGAATTGTGTTCTTATATAAAATGGATAAATAATTCCACAGATGAGGGTGAATGGAAATGATCTAGAATTACCTCCATTGCATAGACTCTCATACTTCTATAGTATTTAAACCATAAATAAAACACTTCCCGTTCACCTGTATCCTGCAAACAAGTTACTTTGTAGAACTGTGGAGATACACAGTATTAGTCTCGGTTTTAAACTTAAACTTAAATGCACATATAGATTTGAAAATGGCTTGAATTTTATAAACTGCTGTTGGAGTAAATGTTCTGTTTAACCTTCGTGATCGGCTCTGAAAAGTGCTTTTTGAACCTGTTAGGTCTGGTCACAGTGTTGGTGCGGATCACTTCACAAATGATACAGATGTGTTGTAGCACACCACACACGTGCATGTGTTAAAAATTCTGTATTTCTCCCCTGAAATAGAGTTAGTTTGACACTGAAACTGATTACTATTTCACACAGCAAGCACAGATCTGATCACATTATCTTATTGACAGCGGCTCTGGTAAATATTCTCACAAGCCGCTTGTTGCAAACATGCCTGTAGCTTAAATGTGACACCCTCTGCTACATGTGTCTGAAATCAATTAATTCACTTATTTCTCATTCAGTCATGGTCGGAGCCAGTTTCTGCCAGTGTAAAATCATTACAGCTGTGTCACCATATATAATATTATTTGTACTATATCTGAGGACACCTCAAGCTATTTATTTTAGCAGTCCACACTGGAACGTTTAGGTTCTCATTACATGTTATTGTATCAGAAGACTTGAGTTTGTAGTTTTTTCAGTGTTTGTGCTGAAGATTGTTGCCTCCGAGTTGAAAAGGATGAATAATTCCTGCAGGCTGATGAAAAGAGGGCAGGGAAAGTGCGAAGCGCTGAGGTGGAGTGACCTTGGTTCCCGCTGGCTGCAGGTCACCTGGCCGTTGCTGTGGTAATCATTCACACCAGCCAGATGGCATTTCCGTGGGCGAGCATGAAAAGGACGGGTCAGGGTTTGTCCTGCCAGGTCCTGCCAGGCCCAAAAACAACTCTGGGCCAATACGGTACCTGGAGAGAGAGAGAGAGAGAGTGAGCATTGGGGTTGTAGGAAGAATTTGCAGAGCCAGGTGATGAGAAGGTGTGGACCAGGTGGAAGTGCAGTTTGACTACAGCCATGATTTATATTATTCCTGTCAGCAGACCTTTTTAAATGGACCAGTAATACATCACACTTATCACTACCTTTTAATTGGCTTTTATATTCTCAGAAAAATGATTTGCATGGATGTTATCCAAGCAGAACAAAAAGACTTGTCTTTGAAAAACTTTGGCACCGCGCCTTTTACTACAAGCGACTTTAATCCCTGTATTGTTTTTAGGGATGTCGCAATGCTGCGCTCATATGGCGAAATAATGCCCCGCTGATTTGTTGCCATTTCCATAGTCTTGTTTCCACTCTCTATCTCTCCCTCTCTCTTCCATGCATCTAAAAAAGCAGTTGGCTTTTTAGATCGGGAACAAAAGCTTGTGATTGTACTACATTTAGCATGACTCAGTTGCTCTGGTGTCAGCTCTAATCCACACACAGAGACAACAGTATTGCCAAACAGTGAAATTGCTTTGCAGCCTGCGAGCCTGGCTGCCTCCACTGCCAGCCTGCTCTGTGTGCTGTTTGCCAGTAGCTCCAGACTCCCCTCCACACCCCACAATCCCACACACACACACACACACACACACACACACACACACACACACACACACACACACACACACAAACTGCAATCTCAAATTGCCTGTGAAAAATCCGTCGCTGTCTCCCTTTCATTCATGCTTTCATATGTTTGTTTGTCGATGTTGTTAATGTCACATGCATCAGTATAATCTCATTGTAGCGGAGAGTAAGTCAGTCCAGAGCGCCTCGCATCTCCTGTTCTTTATCATAATGATTGTGTCATTTCATTCATATGCTGAGATAGATATAAAAGGCTTTGAGATTGACCTCCCCATTTGCTGCTGTATGTGCTCATTATCTCATTTTTTCTAAGATTTGTTTTTTGTTGTCAGGCCTTTTCAAATCTTCAGCAGATTTGATCTGTTTAAATGGAAAAGCAGCCACATCATTGTAATCACCATTGGTTTGAGTCACGCGTTGCCTCTCATATAAACATTTCTTAACATGCTTTCATCATTACCACTTGTGTGAATAGATGGGTGGGACATGTCTGTCACGGTCCCATATCCTTTGGGGTCCCTCTCTCTTCCTTTGACAGTGACAACAAAGCAAATAAGAAAGACGGGAGCTTTTACAAGACTATCTGGGGCAAATTGAGATGTGAAATCCAGGAGCCATAACCCTGATACGTATAACGCAGCGAACATTAGAGAGCGAGAGGAGTGAAACAGACTTCAGCATTAAGCTGTTTAACCTCTCTGTGTAGCATTAGTGGTAGAGACTTCAAAGCAGATGCTTCAGCGTTGGAAGCAGAATGACAAATGGGTTTAGAGACAGCTACGGTGAGCATTCTCACAGGAAGACTAGGCCTGTCATTAATGTCAGCTTAATCACTTTGACCTTCCTTCAAGCAGATTTCCATACCTATCCAATCATTTTGCTTTGGTTGTGCTCCTGTTTACAGACTCCTGTATGTGCTGCAGTTTGATAAGGGCGGACGTGATGATGTTTTTTGTCTGTATCTGTGATTGTTACTTGAAATGTTGTGAAAGCTTTAATTTTAAAAGCTCATGCAGGTTTGCTTCTCACAAAGTACAAGAAAGATATATTTTCCACCTATCCTCTTGAACTATCCTGTCATGCAGATAGTTTTATTTTCTTTTACCTCTACATTGATAGAGTACTAGTTAATGCAATTTCCTTTCCCATGTTCACACTTTTTAAAAAAGAAATATAACCTGTTTCAAGTCCCTTGATTAGACATTTCATTCACTGATTGGCCCATTTAACTGGTTGGAATGTTAAAAATAAGCATTTGCTTAAATGAATGTGGAAAAAAATGACCAAACGTTTGTCCAAAAGAAGAAAAATCATGATTTACTCTGGCCAGGAAAATGTGTAGTAGATTACACTGTGTAAAATCAAGGGTGAACGTTCTAAAGGAAAGAACCATTTCATTCAGGAGTGTTGCTGTGATATAGCTTCCAGCCACCAGGCACAGAACTGAGCACAAATTTTAGTTGTGGCAAAACTCCACAAAAATAAAAAGTACAATTGTTGAGT